ATATTAAGTATCAAAATCTTTTGCATAGAAAAGGAAGTATTCTTTACAAAATAGCAAATGTGGTGTTGGTTTACTGTTAATTGGTTTTGAACACCTTGCTCTAAATTTCATAATGTGATTTATAGAATTGGTTTAATATTTTTTTTTTCTGGTACTACATAATAAGCAAATAATGTAAACTACATGATTTATACTGTTTGATTACAACTGTTACTTGTGTAAGCAATACCATGCAACAAGGTGAGCATTTGCACTAGGATACCTGCATTCCTTGGCTATGCAGTAAGGTTTGCAAGTGACACCCAATTGCTTAAAATCAGGTAAGAAATACAAATATTTCAGTAAAAAAATAGTTTCTGGAAGATATTACTGCTTTGTGGATTCAGCCTGATAGAGACTTTAAGCTTAGTAAATATTGTATGAATACAGTTTTCTATTTTTGCCCAAACTGATATTTCTACTCTCTCATGTCTGTTATCTTAATAGTTGAGAAATTCTCCTTGCAGGCCTGTCAGATTTTTCTTTACTTACTAACACTTTAAGAATGTTTATATGTTTCACAGTAAATAAACCATGAACTGGTAATTAACAATACTGAGCAAAAGCTACAATTATTTGAGGTCCATATCTTACTGAATTCTGTCTTAGACTGCTTCCAAGAAAACACTGCAAGACAGAGGGTAACAATAAAAATAACAAGTCTGATTATTTCTTGTAAGGCAAATTAAGAATTGTTATCTCTAAATCTTTCACAAAATCAATTCTTAATCTTTCAAAAAATCTTTTCAGTTCAACTGTGCATCAGGCTACTATGAAGTAGTGGAAAAGCCAAGCAGAGTTTTCATCCAGGACCAATCTGCTTCTTGCAACATCTGGGAAGAATTCCCCCAGCTACATCAGTCATTCCATGTCCTAACACAAGAGATATGGCTCTGGCCCATGAAAGACGCCCTCTGACATTTAACATGACACCGATGGAGTGAGTGCCTTTCTCCTACGCAGCAAGTCAAAAGGAAAATACTTTTTTTTTTTCTTTCTTTCTCTAGTTCCATCCCCATAATTCTAAATATAAGACTGCATCCCTGTTGGATGTATGTCTCAGACTTAAAGCACAGATTGAACTGGTAACAAGGAAACAAAGTGTATGGGGGAAAGACATGTAAAACCACTGCCCTGATCAGCCTGGTTAAGTAGAAAGAAACTGTCAGTGGTGTAGTTAACTGGTAAGTTTGAGTTTTAAATATTTATTTTCCCTCTGTTCTTCATGAACAGGGCTCAAAGAAGAAAAGTGTAGATTTAGCTTAATGCAGTTTTTCAACACAAAAATATGAGAACATGTAGCAAATACTAGCATCTCAATACTAAACACAGACTTTTCACACTTAAGAACATTTTGCTTCTTTCTCTCACCGTACCAAAACCTACAATTCCTGTATTTTCAGTACTTTAAGTGATATCACTAGGCATTTTCAGACAAAGGACAAACACAGTCACAACTGTGGTGGAAAAAAAAGGATGGATGATGCAAAGCCACAATGAGTGATTTCAGTTTCAACCCCAGTTAGGAGAAGCATCCAAAGTCAACAGTTGTTTTTGTGGTTAGTTAAAGAACTCTGCTCTTCTTAGAGAACTTCACCTTTCTCACCCATCTGAAACTCAGTTTCCCTCCCCTTTGGTTAAAGTTATCCTTTTGGCTCCTCACATTTCCATTTCTCCAGTGCATACAAAGCTTTTCTTTCTTCATCATCTTTGTAAATTACTGTGTTTCCACCTTTAGTTTCTAATCTTCTTGGATTCTGAAGTGAAAGCAGGAAAAGGAAGGAGTATCACCAGATCAGCTGCACATTCAGGACCATAGAAACACCTGACCACTGTGGTGTAACAGGTCTTCTTTTGTTTGCCAAAATTGATACCAGAATATTTTGAATTCTTAAAATTCTGACAGCAGTACTCACATTGGGCACAAAATCTCAGGTCTGAAAGCTATGAAAATGCTTTTTGGAGAAGTTTTATAGTGAATTGAATTCTGTCAGTTCCTCATACGTCAGGTCACACTGCATCCACTCCCCACAATACTGTGCTTGCAGCAACAAACTCTTTGACAGTATAGACACCATGGATATGATGCCACATGTTGCCTGACAGCACCCACAAAATAATTGCTTATGACTACTGCACAGTACAGCACATAAAAGTTCTCATTTCAAAGCCTATTTATTACTGCAACTCTGAATGAAAGAGCAAATATAGTAATATACTAATGTATCTGAAGAAGAAGTAAAATGGATCAAAGCAGCAAAATCCAGTACTGTTAAAGCAAGTGGCAAATGTTATTTATTAGGAAACCTTAAAGCACAGTCCAGTTCACGATGTTTGCATTACTAGATATTGCTGAACAAGAAACAGGCAGGAAAAAAGAAATACAAGAACATTTTAGCTTATATTTTCTCCGCTTACATACAGATCATGTACAGGTAGTTACTACCAGCAAAGCACTTCCACTAAACCTACCTTCTAAGCACACTAAGCTTTCCTAAGGAAAATCATAAGAAGGCATAAAGGCAGGGACATATAAAGGGAAACAATACAGTTTCTTAAATTTCATGGAGAAAATGGCAGTGACAGTTCAGTACTCAGTGAAATAATTCTCCATCCTATTTCATGCTAGAGGTTGTCTGCTGGATTCTCTGTTCCTCCTCTGGCAACCTACATCCTTATAGTCAAGACTACCTATGGCCATATCAATGACATCTTAGCTGAACTCTCATTATTATTAGCTCTACCGATTATAGATATGACCCTTAATGTTGGAATGCAACCAGTTATGGAGGACAGAATTGTGACTGTGTTACTTGCACTACAGAGAAACTAAATTTCAAATGGACAGAAGTGAAACTCTTATGGTTGCAAAGAAAGACTATTACAAAATGTTAACAGTTTGATAACAGAAATAAACGAAAAACACATTTTAGAAATGTAAGGGAAATTTCGGAAGCATTTGGTAAAAGAAAAAAAAAGAAAAAGAAACAACAAAACAAAACCGAAAACACAACCACCAGAAAAGAGATACAGGAATAGGGAGCAACAGAAAAAAAAGATAAGGTTTAGGTAGAAAACCAATAATCTGTATTTCAGTCATACTAGATTTTAAAGAGTTACAAGAACGAAAAATGCACAGGGTATTTCTCTGCACAGAAGAAGAATCATCAGAGATGAGTATGACAGACATATAGCTGGACACTAATGAAGAGTACAACGACATTCTGCTATTGACTCCCCTTCACCCCACATGATAATTCTCTTCTCTGTAAGCAGTGTTTACAGTGTTCATATCACCTCTGTCCATCATAATCATATCCCTTCCTGTTCCCCTATGTTGGCATCTGGTGGCATTAGCATGAGCACACATAGCAATCTCAGAATCTAAACACTATTGACTAGAAGGAAAGTGGTTGGACTAGAAGCAGACAAGGATGTAGTCATCAATTCAGAGTCTTAAGTAAAAGATGACAAGTCAGAATTGCTGATGTTGCCTTATGGCATCAGTTTGATTTTTATAATTATCAGCAAAACCCAAAGCAACTGAAGAGGAAAAAAGTGGTGTGAACAGAAAGAAAGATGATGTAATTAGTAAATTTCAGTACAAAAAGGTCAATTAGGAAACCAGTAACTTCTGAGCATGGAAAAGATCAATACTGATGAATGGCCGAAACTTGGATGTAGTGGACAGCTGGGAGATCAAGAACCTTATGCAACTAGCATACAAGACATCATGAGACAGCCACAACATAGTGAGATAAAACCCAGTCTTATAAGGTGAGAGTTCACACATGGTATACACCTGAAAAGACTTTTCCAAAATGTATTTTTAGCACTGAGCAATACATTACTGTTCTAGAAACACAAGCATACGTCATATGAAGACCTACAATTAATACAGTCCAGCTACTGTGTTTGTGTCCTACATGAAAAGTTTTGCCTGAGATGTTACTAGAACTGGATATGTGATTGAACACAGTGGATTTAAACCAACAAAATCTGTACGATTCTGAAACCAAATAGATACTCAAAAAGAGTCATTACTACATTTAAAATAATCAATCAAAACAATAGGTTCTAGTTTTTCAATACAGAAAGAAATTTAGTGCAAAACTTCTTCCTCAAAATCAGAACAGAACAGTATTGGCTGAAACTTTAAAACATAAGTTACTCCAGAAAGCTGTGATGCCCGAAGTTATTAAAAGTCATGTTTGATGCAGCTTTTGCGAGTATTAGTGACAAGCTTTACCAAAAACCCAAATACTACAAAACATACCATAAACAGTTATATTTTTTTCATGGAAACTTGAGAATCTATCATTCTTTTTGCCTTTAAAATAAAATTTTAAAACACTTTCTATTAATATTTAGGTTCAAATTAAACTGCAATCTCAAGGAAGAACTGTTCTCCCAAAGGGTTTTATAGAAGGGCCAACAGATCCTACTACAATGTAAAAAGTACCATCTTTACACTGATACTATAGTCAGACACAAATTGCACTGCATTTAATCACAAGCATCAGAGACCTAGGGGGACAAGGTGCTTGTTTTCACTGTAATGTATCAAGCCACCACATAGCCCTTCATAGAAAACACTAGCATAATCTTTGCTAAAAGCTCTCTCAAGCCAAATGAAAGCAAACCTCACTGCAGCAGGTTTGGCAGACTTCCCAATCCTTAGTACACAAGTGGTCATCTTGATTCAAACAACAGAAACAATCATAACCGGCAAAGGAGCATCCCAATTACACTGGGCACAGGCTCAGCAGGACACATGTAAACCCAGTAGAAAACATACAGAAAGCCTGATAGGACAAGAAAAGAAGCAATTTCAGTGAAGCAACTTCATTTCATTTCTTAGAAAGGTTGTGCAGTCACAAGTAAAACAAAGCTTTCATTCAACAATTAACATCTCAAGATTTTAAAACTGAAATATAGGACTGATTAATATATTCTCTATTTGCACTCATTTCCCATTGTGCTGATACAAGTTAGAAGCAGGATAAGAAATTAATGTAATTCTGTTGGAAACATCCAAAGACACAGACACAGCCTTCAAATATACATTTACCGATGTGTTTATGGCATTTGCATTAGTGATGCCTCTCTTATTACAGATGTTCTGTTTCAAAAAGACAGACGAAGAATCCTCATTTTCTCTATGGTCCTTTGCTTCACATGAATAAAATAAAAGAAAGGAGGAAGGAGAGGAGAAAAACAACAAAAAAAAGAGACTCCAAAGCCTTCTCCTTTATCCTTTGTGGGAAAATAAAGAAAGATAGAGAATACATCAAGTATATGCAAGTTGCACAGCTTACACAGTCTCATTCTAGACATTCTTGTCTACATATTTATGACAGTTTATGTGTCTGGCCTCCTGCCTGTGTGACACATATACATCTGCATTCAGTAATCCCCCTAGAGAGAGATTTCAGATCTGAAGAATCACCTTATTAGCCTTAAACATGTCTATGTATCTTTGCGAGCAACAACATTTTAGACGAGAAATTATTTCTGAAATTGGATTTTAACCTTCTAACTTTAGTGAGAAGTATTACTTGTAACCACAGTTGTCTAAAAATAAAATCACATCCCCTAATAAACATTTTGTTTTCATGCACAGTTATAACATTCTGTTTTAATACAGTTCTGTATCTTTAGATGGTTACATTTTTCACATCTAAAATTCTACCATTTATTATACTACCAAAACCGAATAAATGACAACATATACTTTTCCAGAGACAGTGGCAATGAACAGGGCCTTGTAGAAGATTTAATTGTAATATTAACCCTTGCATTAACTTTTATCACCCCCTTTCTCTTCTGAAAAAGTCTCAGAAGGTTTCTGTTTACACTAGTTTAATTCCTCTGTTATGTTTATAATTAAATATTATTGTATTTCCCTAAAAGAAACTATGCAGCATGAAGGGAGATGCTGGCTAGGAAACCACATCCAAATGACAAAAATTACTTAAGAAGAAGACTTACCAATTGTAAGCTCTCAGTTTCATGAAGACAGGCTGTTTGGAGCTTGGATTTTAGGGCTTCAGCATGAGGCTGATGAGATGTTGTTTCTCTCACTAACATGTCAATTCTGGAACTTGCAAGTTGGTAGACATCCATAAAAGTTTTAATCATGGCCTTTAAAAAGTAAAATAAATCATCAGTGCCAGGCAGGCTATACTTAAATGCCAAATAGCATACATCCAAATTCATTACAGAAGACTTAAATTTATTAATCTGAGAAATTAAATGAAGATTGCAAACCAATCTAAATCTCAGTCTGAGGACTTAAACATTATGATGGTCTAGCATAGGATTTTTTTATTCCTTCTAAAATCTTAAATATTAATAGCATTTAAGAAAAGCAAATGACTGTGCACCCTAATTATAAGGTGTTTTGATGAGCTGTTTTCAAACATGCAGTACTGTATTGACCAGCTGATACCATTTTTCATTGTGTTTAAATACATGACTCGGCTCGGTGCAAGTTCAATTTCTGTTTACAAAGAATCACTACACAGCTTCAGGTTAATGTTCATACTTTCAAAATGAGTCGAAATATTAATCCTCCCACCACGTTAAAAAAAAAAATTTGTCAGAAACAAAAGAAACACAGTAAGCCTACAGACCTGTGAAAGTAAATAATCTGATTACAATATAGCTGGGAAAATATAATTGTTTTCATGTATATAGTGGAAGAATGTCCTAACTGTGTAATATTGATCAGGCTGATAATAAAGTTAGCAGCACAGGAGAGTACAAATGATTAGGCAATACTGGTAACTTTATATCTACCCTACATAGTGTAACACTGTTGAGATTATTGGTCTTCTTTACGACTGGTTAATCACATTTTATAAGTTATAGTCTTCCCTTCTGAAATAACCTGTAGTGAGTTTCTACTCTAAGAACATATTACAGATAATATGAACTTGGCCTTTTGAATATAAGTCTGTTGGTATGGGCAAAAATAAATTTAGTACCACAAACAGGCATACACAAAGATTTTTACCGTTCTCCTTTCTTTGTTCTCAAACACACTACTGCTTTTCAGAATTAAAGTTAACATAGCTGAAATCAATCAAGTTATTTCATCATTAAATGTAGAGAACAGCGGTGGCAAATTAGCACCATCTTATCTTTTCTCACCAGAAAGAATATCCAAAATGTTTTACATACTATGATGATAGCCCTAAAAGTGTATTCACATGGCTCTATAAATCTGCCACTGTCAGCTCTGATCCTGCTTTTAAAATTCTTTGTCCACATTCAACATGACTAAAATGCTGCAGCTCTTCACAAACAATACCAAGCAAGAATGTGGATATATCTCACACCCCATATAAAACTGCCTGAGAGTCTTCATATGGCAACAGCCCACATGTTAAAAATCAGACATGTTGAAATAGGTCTATGGACTGGGCCTGTGACTCATAAACGAGGATTATACCAATGTGTGATAACCAACTGTGTCTCAAATCTCACAGAAGAAAATCCTTTGAATACTTCCCACATGATATTTAAAGGTATCACTGAACTCGAATGCATAGAGACCATTCCTTACCTTCTTCCTTTTACCTCTGCTACCACAAAACTAGTGAAGCCACTAACCTATAGTTTCATGCTACATTTCCAGAGCCACTCTAAGTCCATGCAGTTATCTGAAACAGCAGTTATCAATTCCTTACTACTCAATTCGACTGTTTCATTTGTTTTCTTGTTTAATGAGTTTGCAAATTTTCAAACTAGGAAAAAGGTATTCCCTCATGAGCTTTTATTTTCAGACATGGCAAGTACTTTACTTTTTCTAAGACATCTAGATTTTTTTTTTTTAAGTACAGAAGGAAACAATTTCTCAGCTATTAGTGATTCATTACTGATGTGGAAGGTAGCATTTATACGCTCGTAGGTACACACTCCTTCCAGTATACCCCAACTCCATAGCAAAGCGTCAGGGTCAGTTTAGATTACTCTCATTCAGGTCTAGGTTAGGGAAAACAGCATTTTTGTGTCTTCCAGTGGGCGATGTGGAATCCTTGATAATGAGCGTGCAAAACATTTATTCTAAATGCCATCTGGAGGAAGGCAAATACTTCAGGTTTTTAGATATGCCACTGTGGAAAACATTGGCATGATTCGTGTCAAAATAAAATATGGTGTGGTAAGTGTAATTGTTGTACCCTATGTGGATCTGAAATGATGTGTGATCACTGTAACCTGTATAATAATTGTGATGAATGTTGGAATCAAATCGAGAATATGCAAGAATAAAATATAATGAGTGTGCTTTTTGCTTGGAACAATGCAACCGCTTCTTAGAAACTCTGCCAATTTCAAAAGATTCAACAGGAGAACAGCGCGCCAAGAGGCAGAGACCTCCAGACTTTCAAAAGACCCAATAAGGGACGGACATGTACCCCAGCAACTCAAATGATCCAATGGAGGAAGAGTAGGACGACTATCTGGTAAATGGGAATTGGTCAAGACACAGGTGCAAGAGTATAAAAGACACTGCTGTTAGAACTCAGTGTGCGTGTGGCAGAGCTGAGACTCCCCACGCACCCAGCACTGCTTTGCTTATTGCTTCTCACCCTAAATTGATAGAACCCAAATAAAATTGTATGTTTATTATGAAATTGGACTTCAGTCAATTATATCACCACTGAAAGGCATTCATTTACGTATGATTTTACATAACTCATCTCAGTCACAAGTTGAGTCACAGGTCTGTTTTCCACAGTACAAACATTCCACTTATTAGAAAGCTTGATACACGAGAAATAGACACAGAACCTAGTCCCTTGTATGTTATAAGATCTGCCACATAATCATTAAATACATCTCTAAAGGAGTTCAGAACTTTAATTTAGATCCCTATTTGCACATTACAGATACAAATATAGCTGCAGCTCTGGAAACTGTTCCATGATCAACAAAGTCTGTTAACAGAGGAGGCACATCTAGTTCTGCAGAATTTTTTTCTTCTCCTGCTCAGGAGTGTTTTCTTTTGTTTTTAATTACACATAGCAGTTAAGATGTATACACACTTTTAAAGTATACATAGAAATAAGATACTTCAGCAACCCTACTGATTAATTTTTATAGCATAAATTTTGGCATTCATACACTATGGCAAGATCTGCATTTAGGCGAGCACTTCTGGTTTTGAATGTGTTGGTAATACTGTGACATGCAAACTCGGAACAAACATGAATCAATACAGATTTGTCTTCCATTACAAGTAGAAATGTTTTAATAATACACATCAGAAAAAGACTTCTGTTCAGAAAGGCCAGATGTAGTGACCACTGAACATTACAGGCACCAATATTATTGCAACTCAGACCACTTTAAAAGTTAAATCCTTTTCAGAAAGATATGTGTTATAGGAAAGTTAGTGGGGAGAAGATTTAACCAAGGAGGCCACAGCAACAGTTGGGCTGAAGGATACTAATTTTAAACATTACTGGCTCTAGGTGTCCCTGCTTGAGCTGGGGGCTTGAACCAGTTGACCTCCAGAGGACCCTTCCAACATCAACCAGTCTGTAATGTGGTGATTACAAAGACTTCCTAACGATGGAACACAATGCAAGTTAATAATGGTTGAAATTTACATAGCACTGTCAATTTTAAGAGCAGAAATTGTAATTAATCTTCATTAATCAAAGAAAAAGAAGAATTAATCAGACAACTGAATGGCTTGTTTTCAGTGACCTCTTCCCTTTCCTTCTACTCCACACAATGTCTTATTTTATAAAGAATTTCACTACTATTTAAAGTTCTATATCGTGTTACTGATATGGCAAAAGCAAATTATAATAGTAGGAGTGTTTTCAATGTCAAAAGTGTCTTCAATGTGAGAGAAGACCCATGCTACAACACTAAGTCAAGACACAGGCAGCTTCATGAAAACAGATGCATGACTTTCTTAGATAATTGGCTACAACTTATAGGATAAAAATATATTCATAAGGTTGGCATGAAGAAAGGATGCTTTTACGCTGAAGGTGCTGGACTAGGCACAAAATTTGCAAGAGTGCCCAAGTGTCATTTTCAAATCTAACTTTCAATGGACAAATTATTTTAAGCCTAAGTAATTCTAAGGATTTTTTTAATAGGTATTTGTACATTTAAAACTGTATCCCCACCTTGTACATTTAAAACTGTATCCCCACCTAGAAAATTCCTATTAGCACTTTAACTATCTTTGAAATCAAAGAAAATCAGAAAACCTTAAAAAATTCAGGCAAGTGCTAGTCACATGATTAAGGAACAAAGTATTTTAAATTTCAGATCCTTATTTATTTAGAAAATGGGATTCTGAAGATACTGAGCACTGCACACCTGGCCATTTTGCCTGCCTCCCCAGCTTGCAAAACAAGGCCAGAAGACAGGAGCATTGCAAAACCATGTATGTGCAGAATCATCTATCAATGCTCCAATACCCTGATTATACGCAGATAAGCACATAAATAGATAAAAGAGAACATATATACAAATTAAAAAAAAAAACAAAAAACCATGTTTTGCTTCAAGTGACATTAATAGGATACTTATTATAGATTTAAGAGAGCTATATTTGGGGAAGAAAGGATTAAAACTAATTTCCCCCATACGTTTTAGCATTTGAAAACCCATTCTGGCTGCCTAGACCCATAGTCCAAAACACCTAGTGGCATCAGTGGAGATGTAAATGCAGCAGCTTCTCGGGAATCAGAAAATACCCTCAAGGGAAACAGCATTCAGCAAAATTGCACTTTTGCAGCTGTTTGGCACTTCTTTAATGATCTATTCTCTTTGTATCTCATTTTGACACTAAACTTTTTGTTGGGTTCCATTCAGGCACCTTATGCACAATTTAAATGTGTCAAAAAGCAGGTCAGTCCTGTTACAACTTTTTTTTTCCCCCAATGAAAGCTGACTCAGTGCCACACATGGAGCCTAACTCTAACCACGTTTCAACAACAATTACTTTACCCTGTAGGTCTCAGAGGATAGCCCAAGGGAATGAAGCTCTAAATAAAAGGCTAGATTCTCTGCAAGAGGTAATGACATGACTCCCTAAAAGAAAATTGAAAAGGGAGCACTGAAATTGACAGAGACTGGAAGGAAAGTGCTTCTCCTGGAAACCACAGCGG